ACCAAGTCATATTTTCCTTTCTTACAGTATTTTCAAAAAACAATCAGCAACTGTCTAGATCCAACTCTTATTATCCAACAGTTTACCTGTTTGTTGATCAGGTAACAAAGCAGTTGAGTAAGAAAGGACAGGGTAGGTAGGATGTCACAGAAAATATAAGAATAGAAGGTTGTTTTCCTCTGCCTTCTCTCCTTTCTGTGTACCTCACACCCTTTATTTCCACTGGCACCCAAACTGGGACTTGTCTTGCAGACGGGCATTTGGTCACTGGACGAGAATGCCTTCCTGCATTCACCTCTTCAGCATTCTCCTCCACATGCACTTCACTTGCCTTCCCTCACCTTCGAGTTGGCACCTTCTCTGCTGCTTTAGAATGAGGGTGCAGCCGTGCAACAGTACTGGCATTTGGGCATGTGACTGCAATCGCAAGGCGCAAGGAAGCATGCATAGAAATATTAGGGCCGAAACAAACAATTAGTCCCTGTTTGTGGAAGACAGGGACAGGCACTGCCCCTGCAGAAGCACAGACATTGGACATGGAAAGATTTTAAATCAACTGTTTTAGATAGTGCTGCTCAAAGAACTAAAGGAATCCATGTGTTTAAAATGCTAGAGGATGAGCTGGTGAGATGGCTCAGTGGTCTGAAGCACCCACTTAGAACAAGCTAAGCTTAAGCAGAGCACAGGGACCACAGTTCAATCCCCCAGCACCACATGCCAGCCAGCCCCGTCCCCAGTGGGCTGAGCTGGCCACACACACACTAAATAAATAATTTTTTTTTTTTTAAACAAAACTCTAGAGGAAAGCTGGATGTAGCTCAATAGCAGAGCACTGATAACCCAGCACTACAAAAATAAAAAAACTAATATTGCATAAAACACGCTAACACTGACAGCTTACGTTATTCTCAATTCTTCATGATGCCCAGTTTCATTGCTTTCAAATGTAGCTTGGTTGGCTGGCTGGCCTACTTTGGCCTGTGGATTGAGCATGGAAATGATGGTCCAGAGCTGCATGTGTTTGTCTTTATTTTATTCATCATGAGAGGAAGACTCAGGCCAAGTTGTGGGGCCCAGAGAATGACAGACAAGAGCAGAGCTGGACCATGACTCACGTTGGACAGAGCAGGCTGAGTATCTTAAGAGCCCTTCAGAGGAACTGGAGAGCCTAAGTGTCCTTTAACTCAGTTCGGAGACAGGTGTTCCACTCATGCCAGCCAGCAGCCGTGGGGCACAGTGATGCATAGGCGCTGTCAGTGTGGCTGGGAGGAAAACAAGTGGTTTGCAGTGAGAAGCAGAGCAGAGCAAGCGTGCTACCTTGGCTGCTCATCAAAGTAACACTGCCAATCAAGTAATTTCGGTTCCCTGAACTGCTACAAGACATTAAAGATGATCAACTAAAATAATGATAGAAGTCAAGAGAAATTACACTAAATAAATTATTCCTTGCTGGGCATTAAAAGAAACTTTAATGAAATGGAGAATTGATAGAATGAGTACAAAATAGGGGTTTTTGGATATGAAAGTAGCAAAATGAGATTGTGTTGATGCATCACTCTGAAAATAGTAAAAATACTGATTTGTGAACTTGAATTTAAGTGAATCAATTGCATGGTATGAAAACGACATTGAATAAAACTGTTAATGCAACTACAGAATAGGAATTAGATTCAGCAGTCAATGAAACAGACAAATCATTCGGTAATATAATGAAAAAGTAGGAACAACAACAACCTATAGGAACACCGCCAGTGTGCTGTTGAGCACGAGGCTCCATATTTCCTTAAAGGCGCTGTATCGTTAAGTTGAGCAGTTACCCTTGAGATCAAGAAAAATGAGAACATTTTTTCTATTTTCTTTTGGGAGGGGAAGTACTGAAAATTGAACCCAAGATTTTCACCCTAGACTACACCCCAAGTGCATTTTTATTTATAAATTTAGCATTTCACTAAACTGAACAGGCTAGGCTTGAACTTGAGTCCATCTTGCCTCAGCCTCTCAGAGTGCTGCATTTGCAAACATCCAGCACCACACCAGGCTGTTTTCTTTCTTTTTTTTTTTTTTTTTTTTTTTTTTTTTTTTTGTATTTTTTAGGGAAGGGTGGGTCTACAGGATGTTGAGGGTCTCACTACTAGATCAGACTCTGATCCACCTGTTTACAGCCTCCCAAGAGCTGGGATTACAGGTGTGCGCCACCGCACCCAGTCTCAATTGCCCTTAGCGCGCCCCAGGGGCGGGGCCAGCACAGCAGACCCTGGAATTGAACCCCTAGCCCCCACCTGCCTGCAGGCGCTTTAATCCGCTGAGCTATTTGGCTGGCCCTTTTTTTTTTTTTTTTTAATAAAATGAGCATAAAAGGTTATATCATGAAAAAAAAGTTTAAAACATTTTAGAGGAAGCATCCAAAATGGAAGACAGGGGGGCCAGGGAGATGGCTCACTAGAATAATGCTTCCCTGGCAAGCGCAAGGGTCTGAGTTCAATCCCTGGTTCTGCAAAAAAAAGGACTAACCACCTGCTTAGGCGAGTGCAGGGACCGATGTTTGATCCCCAGTACTGCATGCTGAACCAGCCCCTGCACCAAGCCAGCCACTGAGTCCTGGTGTGGTGGCCCATGCCTGTAATCCCAGCACTAAAGAGGCTGAAACAGGAGGATCTCTATAAGACCAAACTGTGTAGTAAGAGCCTGTACCAAATACATACATTAAAAAAAGACAATTTTTTACCTATGCTGATTTAGACTTTTTAAATATATTAAAATTAGAAAAAGGTTAATGTATCATCTTGCTTCAGAAATTAACCAAAGGATGGGAAAGTTGCTCAGCAGCAGACGACTGGATTTGATCTCCAGCGCTACAAAAAATAAATTTTAAAAAATTACCAATATATGGTCAATTTGGGAGAAACCTTGTTTTGGGACACAAGGCATCCTCATGTAGCCCAGGTTGGTTCTGAACTTGTGGCTTTCATGCCTTGGGGAGTACAGGCGTGGGCTACTCCCTGGCTTGGATAAGCCTACTTTCAAGTTTGAAAGACTTTCGCAAGGCCAAAGAGAAACTTTTTGTAATGGTTAGCTAATGAAGTTATTATATGTTCTGTGATCAAAATATACAATGGGGGCTGGGGAGATGGCTCAGTGGAATAAGCACTTGCCTGGCAAGCGCAAGGGCCTGAGTTCAATCCCCAGTTCCACAAAAAAAAACAAAAACAAAAACAAAAAAAATATACAATGAATATTAAAAAAAAATTGTAACCGCCATTAATGCCCTTCAAAGTCCCCCCCCCCCGTTTACACAGCAAATCTTCATTCTTTCTACTTTCTGAGTCAGTTCTAGGTCTTTTTCATCAGTGTCTAATGCACGGTTGCGCCTGCCTCCAATGTTTATCCTTCATGACCATTTTGACCTTGGGGAAGACCCGAAGTTTTATGAACCAAGTGAAAATGGCAGAAAAGAACACGCCATAATTTTATGAACCTGAATTTCCGTTGGATGCCCCTCAGCAGCGGCACTGCTTGGGTTTTTATCGCAGAAAGGACATTCAAAAAGGAGTTCCGACGGTAGACCCAAAGAGATTCCCCCAGTAAAGTGATTTGGTCTCAAAAAAAAAGCCAAAACTGCTTCAGAAAAGTGGCAAGTACAATGATCAATTTTTTCGTAAAAATGAGGATTTTTTATTACACTGCATAGATAGCGGCCAGGGAGATAGCAAAAAACAAACCAACAAAAACTGCATAGATAGCCTTGAAGTAGACACATTTTTGTCTGCATTTAATTAGTTGAAAAAACAGTGCCTGAAGAATCAATCAGTATTGTTGGACCAAGTAGCTTCAAAAACTGGGAAAATTCAAGTTAAATAATTTACAACATAAGAAAAATAAATTTCAGATGAATGAGAAGTCTAAATGAAAAATTGAGCCTAGAAGAGATTTTTTTTCTTTTCTTTTCTTTCCCCCCCCCCAGAACCGGGGATTAAACTCAGGCCCTTGCGCTTGCCAGGCAAGTGCTATAAGAGAATTTTAAAAAAATAGATTAACAAATTTTGGTGGAGGGATTCATCCTAAACCATGTAACAATGACAGGTTTGTTTGTTTAATGAAGAATTGGGACTGCACAGAATGTCACAAAGGCACAGGAGAACAGGCGGGAGCGCGGCCGCACCGATCCAAGGCACTGGGCAAGTGCCGCGGCCCAGGCACCCAGAGACACGTGGCTTCAGGTCCCGGCCCAGGCACGCGGTGGGTCGGCGGTGATTTTCTTCTCTGTGTTTTTTTTTTTTTAATTTATGTGTGTGTGTGTGTGTGGGGCCAGCTCAGCCCACCAGGGGGCGCGGCTGGCTGGCATGTGGTGCTGGGGGATCGAACCGCGGTCCCTGTGCTTTGCTTAGCTTGTTCCAAGTAGGTGCTTTAGACCACTGAGCCATCTCACCAGCCCCTTCTCTGTGTTTTCCTGATTTCTCTAACGCTCTATCTTTTACAATGATGGCGTGCGTTGAATACCCAACTGAAATTTTAAAATCCCGAAACAACAGACCGGGTTGGGCCGCCTTGGGTTGTCTTGTGCTTGCGCCGGGGGGAACACTGAGCTTTATTTTCTTCCTTGCAGCGTTGCCACAATGCCTCTTTCAGAAGTGAGACTACTGATAGTTAAAAAATAAATGCGCGGGGACTGAATAAAACAGCCTGGATCCTGTAGGTGTGGAAGGAAATTTGGGTGCTTATCCCTGGGCTTTTTGCATTTCCCCATGACACACCTCTTCCAGCCCTAGATCCCTAAACCCTGGAAAACTCAGCGCAACAGGCAAGTCCGAATTACACGCAAGAATTCATTCCTGGCGCGTACGTCAGCGTGACTCCCGCGTCCGCACATCCGGGGTGGCATGCCCGGAACGCCCCGCCCCACCCCACCCCACCCCGCCTCTTGTTGTGTTGTCATCACGTGGCCGGGGCGGGTCGTGACGTCACGGAAGGGGAGGGACTGCGCAGGCGCAGAAAAGGGGGCGGGGGACTCGGCTTGTTGTGTTGCTGCCCGAGAACCGGAGACGGTCCTGCTGCGGCCGAAGCTCTTCCAGCCGCCAGACCATGTCGTCTCATTTAGTCGAGCCACCGCCTCCCCTGCACAACAATAACAACAACTGCGAGGAAGGGGATCAGCCTTTGCCGCCGCCAACCGGCCTTAACAGTGAGTGCTGGGCCGACGGGCTCGGTGGAGGGATGGGGGAGGAGGAGCTCCTCAGGCGGCCGCCGCCTGCGCCGCGCGGGGGGCGGGAGGAGAAGGCCGTCCATTGGTCTAGGGTGAGGATGTCCGCGTGACTGACAGCGCCCGCCTCCAGTCAGGAAGAGGCGCTCGGGTCTTCCTCTTGGCGCGTCTGCGCCACCTCCGGGGGTCGTGGGCTGCGGGCGCCCGGGTCTTCAGTGGAGGCCGGACCAGAGTGGCGGAGAGGGTGTCATGCGGCCGCCCGCGGTGGCCCTTGAGCTTAGCTTCTGGAGCGGGCCGTGGGGGCGGTGGAGGTGGGCGGAGCGGGCTCTTGGGGACGTGGGCCGGGCCGGGGACGTGCGGCGGGGATGCCGGGGGATGGACGCGCGGCGGGCGGGGCGCGGGCCGGGGACGTGCGGCCGAGCAGGTGTGGGGGAGCAGCCCGACCCCGCGGGCGCTCAGGGCCCCGGCCCGCGGAGCGAGCCCGAGCTTGCCGGCGGCGTTCCTTTGTTGCTACATGCTAGTCAGGAAAATCCATTTGATAACTCGGGGATGAGGCTTTGCGCCTTTAAAATTTTTTTTTCTTAAGATATCCCCAAGTTGCTAAAAATACATTTATTTTTTAACGGTAGGATCGCTTGCCCAGTAGGTCTATCTTAAGCTTCATGCCCTTCCCGCCGTTGCACCCATCACGGAGTCTGGGCAGTGAGTTTTGAGAAACGGAATTTAAAACACTGACATGCTGATCTTTGAAAGTTCGTGAGCGTTTTGCAGTAAGGACCAGCAGTGATGGCTTTGCTTAACCTTCAGGTTCCGTGACAGCTGGTCCTAAGACTGTTCCTGGTTGCGGTGAGCGCCTGGTCTTGTTGGAAAGGTTCTTGCCTAACCTTTCTTCAGTTCATCTCTTATGAAAGAGTTAGTGGGGGCCGTCACCATATGGCCAGATGCAAGTGTTTAAAAAGGATCCGGATGCCGAAAGATCATGCAGTTTTTATTTCGTAAGAGGCAGATGCTTCCAGCACGGCCTAAACATTTTACACAAGTTCCTATTGTTTATTGCTTCGGCTCCTTTTAATGGGCTGATTCTCTTAAGGATTCTCTTAAGTGTTGACCTTTTTGTAAGCCTTTAAGTGTTCGTTTTGGAATGTAGGATTTTTATATTATTTTCCACAGTAAATGCCAATGGATGTGTCTTTAATGTTACTTGTATCATATTAAAATGGAATAATAAATTACCTTTTTTTAATCTGTACTTTTGTTGGAAACGTGTGTTTCACAATGAGAACAGATGTTGGAGATCTAGGTGTACCTTGTTTTTACTGGTTAAAAGAAAGTAGGTCCAGAGTCAAGGGTCTTGGGCAAGTCCATAGCTGGCTGTGTTCCAGGGCCCTGTTCCCACTTTCAGCCAGTCTGGTGTTCTTTTTGGATCCTTTTTAGTGGGCCTGTGTCTCATTTTTCAGCATATTATTCGGTGTATAGAGGGAGCCGACCTGTCTTTAATATTCAGAGGCTTAGTTATGCTTTGTGTTTTCTTCTGAGTCATATATGTGGTCAGTATGTATATGCTTACATACTGAAAGCAAAAAGATTTGTATTTTTTGCGACCCTTTAACAACAACAAAAGGTTGAGTTATAGGAGATTTGGACCCAGGGTCATTGCCCAGAGCTACATCCCTACATCTTTTTCTTAAAATACTAAGATCAGGTCTCACTAAGTGAGTTTCCCAGGCTTGGCTCCAACATGATTCTCCTGCTTCAGCCTCTCAAAGCCCTGGACTTAAAAGAATGCACCACCACGCCTAGCTTGTGATTGTTTATCTTGATGTCTGACAGACCTGTGCGTGTGTGACGTCTTCAGCCAATCATTTCCTGCCACATTCTCATTAGCTCTTACACAAGTGGAACAACATGCAGCTTGCATGTGATAGCAGATGTGCTTTAGGAAATCTGGTGGATAGAAGGTATTTTCTTTGGGAGTAGGCTGAGCTTTTGAATGACTGGAAGGCTCTTAGGTACTGCCGTACTTAATTACTCATCCTGTCTTTTTTTGCTTATTTAGCATATTATACAACGCTGATTGAACCAGGCAGACTTATTCTTTTAAGTGAGTTTTAGGCATTGGGCAGAAAACTTATTCAGGCGTCTGATACTGTCTAAATGCTGATAAGTCTAAGCACCGTGTTAGGTAACACTGTACAACTTAAAATGAGATGAAATTCATATAGACTATTTCTAGCTTAGGATTTTATCTTTTAATTTGGAGTCAAAGCAAAGTTTTAATTTTTTTTTTCTTTTTGAGACAGGGTTTTACCATCAAATCCTGAATTTATTATTTAGCCCATGCTACTCAAACTCACAGTGATCCTCCTGACTCAGCCTCCTGAGTGCACCAGTACACCCGGCATCAGAGTTTCAATAATAAATTGCTGAAATGTTTGAAATGTGAAGACCTTCTCTGATGTCTT